GGTTACAGCAACTGGAACAATAAAGTCCTGATGATAAGTTAATTAAAAGAATCTCTTACTAGATTCTCATTTTGGGTTTTCACATTGCAGTTAACATTAGCTCACTTGTAATAATCTCCTCATGATAGATTTTCCTTCCATAGTCTGAAATGAAAATAATTTTCCCCCTCCTATTTTATTTTTCTCTCCATGGGACTATTTTTTTTAATTGAGACAAAACAGCCCAGGATGCCCTTTTCTCAACACTTTACTTTTCCGTTTGCCTCTCAGATGCCCTTTTCTGAACCCATGGCAGAGTCAGGCAGCTACAGCTCTGGGTAAGTGCCAAATGCTGGAGGATTTGGCTACCCAGAAATATATCTTGCCGATCGTGCTGCGTATTTTTTTGAATTCAAAAGTCACTTTTCCCACCATTTGGAATTCTTTGTCAGCTTTGATTTTATAAATATATATATACACACATGTGTATATACATGCACATGTATATATATGCACATATGCATGTATTATATACATACCTACTTACACATACATATATAAGTATGTGCATGTGCATGTGTGTATGCCATAGATTTTACTTCTTTTTTTTTTTCCAGGCACAAAAGTATCCTTATTCTTTTCTTTCACAGTGTTATTGGCATATAATACAAGGCACTCCAAGATCTGTGTATCACTGATAGAATTTGTCAGTAGCTATTCACTTATTACAATGATAGGCTCAACAGAACCTTAGTTAGTTAGTCCAACATTGTGTTTGGCATAACCACCTGTGTGCGTGACCTGGAACCCTCATAGCAATACGTGTACAGACACATTTCAATCAAAGATGCATTGTTCTCGGGTTTTCTTTGGCTCTTGTTTGTGTTGATCTATTGTCTCCCTGGTGCATGTGGGGTGCTGAGGGAAATACAGTGATGGAGCAGGACCTGCGATTTGTCACCCTCACAGGTTACCAGCACAACTTCAACACCTACCCTGACAGCTACATCACTGACCTCAACACGCCCTATGACTACGAGTCTCTGATGCACTATGAACCGTTCTCATTTAACAAAAACGCAAGCGCCCCGACCATCACAGCCAAAATCCCCGAGTTTAACACCATCATTGGACAGCGCCTGGATTTCAGTGCCATTGATTTAGAAAGACTGAACCGGATGTACAATTGCAGTGAGTATCCCTGGGCAAACTCTGACAGCAGAGGGCCCTTTGCCTCGAAGTTTCCATTCCCTGTTTCATTATGCTTATTTCCCATGTTCTGGATAAAGGAACACGGGGAAATGAAATAGCCTCCGTTTTATTCTATTTAGAGTAGAAAACAAAAAACATAATTCCTACCTCCCAAGATCGTTGCAAGAAGCGATTATGGATTTGTGTTTTGCCAGTTGGAAGCACTGGACAAATGCAAAGAGCTGTTGTCGAACTTCTTCAGTTTCCTTTTGAAGGGTGGAGCACCAGGCAGAGGGCAAAGCACTCAGAATCAATGGTTATACACAGGAAAGTATTTTGATGCCTGCAAAATGCTTGACCTTGGTTAGCTATTCCTACAACGACAAAGGCAGTTCCTCTAGGATGAGGTGTTCCTCAGTGGACCCCTCCAGTCTTCAGACAGATGTGCATCAGTTCTGTTCAGAAAAGTATGCCTTGAAGACCCGTTGAGTGTGGAGTCCAAGAACCCATGCTTTGTATGTATTTAGCAAGACACATTCCTATGCCCCTTTATTGTTTGACTCTATAAAGTGCATAGGCTTGTGTCTAGGTCGACAAATTCTAATATCTAACTGATAAAAGTAGGTCCTGTGTTTTTTGGGGGGTGAGGTGGGGGTATAGGGGTGGGGGAGTCAAGAACCAGAAAGATGTATGATTCTATTGTTTCTGGCCCACATGTTATGTATGTGGAAGGAGATGCCTGAAGTGTCTAACCAGGCAAACAAACATGTCATTGGCAGCCACGACCCGTACCCTTTTGGACTACTGTGCTTTTGAGAAGGCAAACATCTGCGGCATGATCCAAGGCACCCGAGACGATGCCGACTGGACTCATGAGGACAGTGCTCCGCCGGGACAAGCGGACCACACGTTGGGAGGCCGCTGCACAGGTGAGCAAGGGAGGAGGAACACATGGTCAGTGGTCCGCCAGGTTTTGCCTCAATCTGAATGTTCATTATCAAGTCTGGAAAGCTGAACAAGGACAAAGAACATTTCTGATATCCTGATTAGTATCTCCATAAAATCCACCCAGGTCTGTACTTTCGACTGAGAGATTTCCAGACTGATAAGGACATCTGATATGGTGAATAAGGCATGGCTTTTGTATGTGAGGATACTCTCTTGGGAGAAGTCTCCTCCGATAAAACTATAAAGTGACTCACGCTTAGCATTTCAAATGTCCAAGTAGTGATGTACAAACATAAGAAAAGAAACTGGTGGAATTAATTTGAATTGTAGGATTTATTTAACCCAACAAATCCCAAAGATGAGCACTCCAGCATGGAATCACGCGGACGATTAATAATGAGATATGTTATGAGTGATTTTTATGTTTTGAATATATTTTTTACTACTTGAAATCTGGTCTATGTTTGACTCTTACAGCACATCACAGCTTGGAGTGGCCATCACTGAAGCGTGCAGTAGTCCTGCGTGGGGCTCCCCATATTAGATAGCACATCTGCAGATAGCTCCTGTACATGTTCTGTGTAGTGAAACAGCCAAGTCCGGGACTTGACATCCACTTCTACCATGAACTAACTGTAGCCCAGGAAGTGATTTGGAAACTTCCGGGTGAGGAGGGAGGGAGGCATTGCATGTAGTTCCCAGCCCAGCTGCAGACAAGCAGCTTCATGCCCTATGTACCCCGCCCCCCCATCTTTCCTCTCCCTCTTTCTCACCCAAACCTAAACCCACTGCTATTGAGTGGGTTCTGACTCCTAGCAATCCTAGAGAGGGTATCCAAGACTATAAATCTCCATGGAAGCAGACAGCTTCATCTTAATTTTCTATTTCTCTTTTAGAAATCTGTGTCATGCATTTTGATCGAAATCATCTCGACCTCTATTTGGAAGCAAGTTGGGTGATTAATTCTGAAAGCTTTAAACAACAACACACAAAGCTGCTCAGACTGTGGGAAAGTCTCTCTGTTGGGTTGCTCTGTCTGAAGGGACCTGGATGTCATCCGCATGGCGGGCCCTCAGGGAGATGTCGGGTGTATAATCAGTGCCATTCTTCTCCTGGGACTCTTTACAGGGATAGAAAGCCTTATCTTTCTTCTGAAGAGCAGCTGGTGGTTTCGAACAGCTAACTCTGTGATCAGCAAACAAGTAACCCGTTAGGCCACCTGGGCCCAAGTCTGTAAATTTCCATCATAGCTTCTAATCCAATCTCTTCCGTGGGGCTGCTGTTGGCTAATATGTGTATCAGTAAAATTAAACAGACAGCTGATCTTTATATGGAACAGGAAATTGCTGGAAAAATGTTCTAGGTCCCTCAAACTCAAAACTGACCTACATCAGGCCATTAGCTGGTCATTTGTTGAGCCATCAGGGTTTGTTTGTTTCCCACAGGAGAATTTGGACCTTTTTTTCCTGTCCTAGAGAGCATTGGCATTGTCCAGGGGAAGCTTAAAATTGAAGGACTCTAAGCATTTTGGAGAAATAAACCTACCTCCCATTCGAACCCCGAGTAGTGAATGAATACCTGACTAGTGGCAGAGCCAGGGCAAGAATTCACATGTCCTCAGACCTTTGGAAGGGGCTTCTGACCACAAGAACCCTTGTCCCTTATGAGCTCTTGTTTCTTGAAGCCGAACATTCCTAATGCAGAGGCTACACTCCATTGGAACTGGGAAGTGCCCTTGTTGAGAAGAGCATTCGAGAAAGCGTTCCTTTCCTTGACTGTTTGAAGCTCAAGCCATGGATGCTTGCTGCCAATGCCGTGGGCAGCAATCCCTTGTTTCAAGCAAAGTGACTCACCGTCACGTCCACAGCAGTGGGTTTGGCAGTGGGTCCTCATCCCAGGTGATGATCGCACATCCTGTTATTCGGCTAGCAGCAGGGGCCATGGAACCTTGATCATCATACATTTGAATCTTCAAAGTCCAAATCCTAAACCTTTGAACCCCAGGTTCTTAGACAGGAGCCCTGGGAGCACAGTGGTGAAATGTATTGGCACTTGCCAAAATATCAGCTATGAGAACTCCACAGCTGCTCCTTAGGAGAAAGAAGGGGCATTCTGCTTCTGAAAAGTTCCAACAAACCACTCAATCCCCTGTCGTCAGGTTCCCTCCGACTCCTAGCAACCCCTAGCAGGGGTCTTTACTGGGGCAGATAACCTTCTCTCTCTCCCTCTGAGGGGCTGGTGAGTTTGAACTGCTGACTTTGCAGTTAGTAGTCAAAAGTTTACCCAACAGCAGCTAAGGAAGTTCTGCTGTGCCCTACAGAATCCCTCTGAGTCAGAATCGACTCAGTGGCAATGAGTTTGGGTTTGCTCTAGATCTATCTATCAGATCAACTGTTCCCCTTGCAATGAATCTCTCATGTAAACAATGAAATCAACCAGAAATGTAGAATTCATCTCACGGGCAGTCACTTCCATCAGACTTGGCTTGAAGCGCATGTTCCCTCAGTCAGAAGCAGATTTCATTACCTGAGGAGCCGGGGCAATCCCGGAGGCCCTGGAGAACCACGCTCCAGCCAGTGAGGGAGATGCCCTCAGAAGGTTGACTGACAAATGTCTTCTTTTGACTTTCCTCAGAAGGGTTCTTGCCTTTGTTGCCCGGGTAATGACTGTGGTTCACTATTTCCCTTTGGCACCCTGGGCAGTGCGGTGCCAGAAATGGGACGTGAGGGTGTTGTCTCTACAGGCGCTGGATACTTCATGCACTTCAACACCAGCTCGGGGACAGCCGAAGAGGCAGCCCTCCTGGAGTCTCGGACTCTTTACCCAAAGAGGAAGCAGCAGTGCTTGCAGTTTTTCTACAAGATGACTGGCAGCCCCTCAGATAGGCTCGTCGTCTGGGTCAGGAGGGATGACAGCACGGGCAACGTTCGCAAGCTGGTCAAGATACAGAGCTTCCAAGGTACTTCCTTAGAGGCATCCACACAAAGCCTGCGTGGCTTACAGGCTGGGAGCCTGCTCCTTCTCTCTTGCTCACCTCTTTCTGTCTCCTCCACCTTCTCCTCCTCTCATTCCGCTTCCTCCTCTTTCTAGTCTTCCTTCTCTCTGCCCTTGTTCTCCTCTCTCCTCTTCCCTTTCCTCCTCCTCTTGTTCCCCACGTCTGTCCACTTCCTTCTCTCCTAAGGACCTAGACACGTGTGGCTTGTTTTAGCCACACAATGAAGATTTAACTCCTTAAAAATTTCTAGGAGCATCAAGGGTTTGACTGGGGCTAAATGTATCATTGTAAGAGAACAAGTTACATTTGTAAATTCAAATTTCTCTAGTGTTTTTTGAGACATCCAGGGCAGACAATTGGAAGGCAAAAGAGGTACAGGAAAGATCAACTAGGAGTCCTGATGGCACTGTGGGTTAGGTGTTGGACTGCTCGCCTCAAGGTCAGCGGTTCAAATCCACCAGCCTCTTGGAGGGAGACAGATGACAAGGTCTGCTCCCATCAAGATTTACAGACTAGGAAACCCTATAGAGGCTCACCATGAGTTGGGATCAACAAGGTGGCAGTGGGTTTGGGTTTGGATGTAACAGAAGCTCTTTAAGAGTTAAGAAATTATTGTGTTAGGAAGGATTGTAAATATTTAATGAGAAAATGAATTTGAGTCCGAGTAACATTGATAGGCTGTATTATCGCTCACTTCCATATAAAAGCTAAGGATGTTTGTTCCATGCACATACAATCATCTGAGGAGTCTTCTCACACTTAACTCAGCTCAATACACTGCTTATGCTTTGAGGCCTATTCAATTTAAAATATGTTTCTGGAAGACCTGTGGAAGTACTCTGTGGGTAAATTCTTCAAGAGTCCGTTCCAGGGGGTTCAGATCGCTATTCAGGTCTGGAATGAACTCCCCACTCCCACCCGCACTGAGATAAGACGTGTCAAGAACTTGTGTCCCTAGTAAGTGCTCTGTATCAGAGTATGTTGGCCACAGTTGCCACCAACCCTTTCTTCCCTTTGTCCTCAGGTGATCTTGATCAAAATTGGAAAATTGCTCATGTGACGCTCAGAGAGGAAAAGAAATTTCGATACCTTTTCCAGGGCACACAAGGTGACCCCCAGAACTCGAATGGGGGGATTTACCTCGATGACATCACTCTGTCAGAGACACCATGCCCCTCAGGAGTTTGGACAGTACGGGGCTTCTCCAAGATTCTGGAAAGGACGGTGAAAGGGGACCGGCTCCTGAGCCCTCGCTTCTACAATTCGGAGGGCTATGGGTTTGGGTTGACTTTATACCCTCATGGCAGGGTAAACACACTGGCTTCTGGGTACACAGGGCTTGCCTTTCACCTGTGTAGTGGCGAGAATGATGCTATCCTAGAATGGCCAGCTTTGAACAGACAGGCGATAATGACCATCCTGGACCAGGAGCCCGATGCTAGGAATAGGATGTCCTCCAGCATGGTGTTCACGACCTCCGAGTCCCATACATCTACAGGTAAAGTGATTCCAGCAGGATTCAAAACTCCTGTCCCTCGGCCTAGAAAGGACCAGCAGGTCCAATTCGTACTTGCCGAAGAGAAATAAGCAATTATTTCTCTCACATGTCCTCCTTAGGCATAGCACCAACATAGTCATGTTGGACCCTTATGTTTCCATGATATCTTCCTTCTCCTTCTCCACTCATTGACCAAGCATCTAGTGAGGGCTTTTGGTGTAGCAAACTCTAGAGTAGGCATTTAGAATAGAAACAAACCAGGCGTTTCTGGTTCATGGAGCTTCATCTAATTGAGACGACAGACAATGCTCATTGTTCAGAAAATAGTCCCTGTTTTCCAGGCTCTGCTGCCAAGAATGAATACACCAATTTCTAAAATATGATTAAATGTCAGCATGCCAGTGAAATGAACTTGCATCAATAAGACAGGGGCAAAACAATTTTCTTTCCCAAAAGAAAGATGTTAAGTTTTCAAAGGAAGAAGGTAATAACTGCCCTTCCTCTTTATTGAGCCATGACCCAATAGAGGCGTGCTGACCCATCACGGTGGTGGCTTCCGGCTTCCCAATCCCCAATGTTAATGCTCTTGGAAAGAATATAAAAACAACCTAGCATTTTCCCCCCCAGCATTGCTTTTCGGATGAACAAAGATGAAAACATGCTCATCATTAAAGACAAATTGGAACGTAAGCTATGAAAGGGTCATATGGATTTTAAAAGCATTTTGTCTTATTTATCACTTTGCAGCAATGAATAACTCTGTCATCTGGGACCGGCCATCCAAGGTGGGAAGCTATGAAGCAAACTGTAGTTGTTTCAGAAGCCTGGACTGGGGCTGGGGTAGTTTAATCTCCCACGAAATGCTCAAACGGAGGGGCTTCCTGAAAAATGATGACCTCATCTTGCTCGTGGACTTTGAAGGTACCCGTGCCCGACTTCCTGTATCAATAATCCTATACCCTGGGTGTTCTGCTGAGTTTTAACTCATGCGTCGGCCCTGGGCTGGCTGTAATGAGGGACTTGTACATATCAACAATTGTGAGGATGAGCAGGAGTGAGCAGTGTTCTGTTCTGTTGTCCATAATATCTGTTTGTGTACTGAATGGCCCATCAGAGTAACAACACTGGCAACATGGAGGGTGGGAGTTTTGGGACATATATACATATATAGATGATGTGTATATATACATATATATGATGTTTGAGAACCACATTTTATGCAATTGTCCAAGGACTCACATTTTTTATTTCCATTGTGCTAGGAAACTAACATGCTAGCATCTTAATCTTTGATAATTTACCAAATATGAAAGCTTGCTGATTTCAATCAATCCACCCCTGCTAGCCATATGCTGTTTTCTATAAGTTAAATGAAAATGAGGTTGAATTCTTTTAAAGACAAGAATAGCTGCCATCATGAGAATCAGCTGGACTTAGTTGGTCTTCCATGTCACTCAAGTTGGAAGACGTCCAACGTCCATTCATAAGGAACACAAGGGAGCCAGAAAACATTCTCTAGAATCGGACATTGGTCGTTGCCCTTGTTGTTTATAGGCGCCATCACGTCGATACTGACTCTTGGTAACACTGTGTACCACAGAGCAAATAACTGCCTGGCTTCTGACCTCCTCCCAATCATTGCGCGCACACACACACACACACACACACACAGACAGATGTTAGAGAATCACATTTTATGCAATTTCCCAAGTACTTTTTTGGGGGGACTTGTTGGAAATACTATCATAATATATCTTGCCGAGGGTCTTCCTCTTTTTTGCCGACACTACGCTTTGGTCAAGTGTGACTTCCGTCTCAAAGGACTGATCTCTCCTGATAACATGTTGAAAGTATGTGAAATGAAGTCCTACCATCTCTGCTTCTAAGGAACATTCTGGCTGTACTTCTTCCAAGACAGACTTGCTATTTCTTCTGGCAGCTCAGGGTTAATTCAATGTTACTTCACACCATCCGCCGAAGGCATTGCTTCCCTATTGTTCTTCCTTATTTTTTGCCCAACTTTCACATACACACGAAATGATTAAAACACGCCACGGTTAGGGTCAGGTACCTCTGAATCCTCAAAGCGACATCTTTGCATTTTAATACTTTAAAGAGCTTTTTTTTTTTTTTTTTTAATCATTTTATTAGGGGCTCATACAACTCTTATCACAATCCATACACACATCAATTGTGTAAAGCGCATTTGTACATTCATTGCCCTCATCGTTTTCAAAACATTTTCTCTCCACTTAAACCCCCAGCATTAGGTCCTCATTTTGCCCCCTCCCTCCCCGCTCCCCCCTCCCTCATGAGCCCTTGATAGTTTATAAATTGTTATTTTGTCATATCTTGCCCTGTCCGACATCTCCCTTCACCCACTTGTCTGTTGTCCGCCCCCCCCACCCAGGAGGTCACATATAGTTCCTTGTAATCGGTAATCTTGCTTCTTCCTCATGACCCTTTATCTATTTCTTGAAGATATCACCCACCTTCAGAAGACTGAAGTTCCCATTAAAAGCACAAGGCTGAACTCCCGAGGCCTGGTTCTCCACGGCCAGGACCAGCAGCCCCCAGAGACAGATGCAGAGAAGGCCATGCTAGAGGAAGCCCCACTCGGCAGCCTGGATCGGGGGCAGCCTAGGCGACGGACGCGGTCAGTGGAGAACACGGGGCCCATGGATCACCTCGACTGGTCACAGCACTTTAGAGATCCGTGCCACCCGAACCCTTGCCAAAATGATGGCGTCTGTGTGAACGAGAAGGGCGTGGTGAGCTGCAGGTAGGATCTTGCGCCCAGCAGAGAGGCAAGTCAAGGTCAGCAGACATGCATTGAGTGTTGATTTGAGGCAGGTAAAAGGTACTGTTTTCCTTAGTGGCAGCAAACTGTGAGTGTAGAAATGGTGGGCATGGCAGATGTCCTTTTATCTATGTATTCTAACCACAATAAAATAAAAAGATACCGCCCTTAGATGAGACCCTTAACTACATCAACCGGTCAGATGGACCGGACTCCCTAGTTCCTTCTGTGACCCTACCAAGGTGTGCCCTAGACTGATGGGCTTGTGTCGCTGGGCAAGGCGAGGGCTCCCAATTCTTCCCTCTCTTGGAGTTTACCCATTTTCCTTCTTGGGGCATTGCATTGTCTGCATCGTGAATGTTGGAATTCCCCTCTCCATCGCAGCACAAGCTGGAATTGTAGCCTGGGGACTTTGTAAGTGCCAGGCCTGGCTAGAGGGAGCCCGGGTGGTGCAGGGATTACACTTTGGGCTGCTAACCACAAGGTCAGCGTTTCAAAACCCCCAATCACTTTTCAGAGGAAAGACAAGGCTTTCCACTCCTGTAAAGAGTTACAGTCTCGGAAACTCACAGGGGCAGCTCGACTGTGCCCGATTGGGTCTCTAGAGTCAGAGTTGACCGGAGGGCAGTGAGTTTGTTTGTTTGTTTGTTTGTTTTGAGGCCTGGCTGTGTCTTGCCAGAGTAAGATTTAGGACTAAGCTTAAAGTCTTCACTGATTACAGATGTTATTTTTGGGTAATAACCACTACTGTTATTATTAGTTCTATTGTACTGTTGTTGGATTTTTATTTATTTTTATTTTTATTATTTTTTTAAAAATTGAAATAAGAACATTTTTTAAAATTTTAAATCATCTTATTAGGGGCTCATACAACTCTTATCACAATCCATACACACATCAACTGTGTAAAGCGCATCTGTACATTCATTGCCCTCATCACTCTCAAAACATCCTCTCTCCACCCACACCCCCGGCATTAGGTCCTCACTTTTTCCCTCCCTCCCCACTCCCGTTGTTGGATTTTTAAAATAGTAATAGGAGTATCTGGTCATTGTGACTGGCTGCAATATGTGCTGCGCACCTGAGCAATCAAGATTCGTTCTCACAGCCACGCTGCGCTGTAGGGGCTGTCAGAGCTGGGACTTGTATCCAGGCCGGCGTCTCTGCACCCACACCACAGAGAGCAAATCCACTGTCACAGAATAGATTCCAGCTCAGAGCCACCCAAGGGGGGTGTCAGACTGTCCCTTTTGATGGGAGCAGATCCCCTCCAGCCTCGTCTTTCCCTCGTGGAGCTGCTCGTGAATTGGAACCATGGGCCTTGCAGTTAGCAAGCCGAGACCTCACCACTGCACCGCCAGTGCTCTGTTTGTGAACCCGAGCTTAGATACAGTCCTGAGCTTTACCTTAGCGAGCTTTGGTGGCACTGTGGGAGGGGCATTGGACAGCTGACTATACAATCAGTGGTTTAAGCTAAGACTGCCTGCTCCTATAAAGATGTACAGTCTCGGTCTCTAGAGTCACACTGAACTGGCATCAACTCTGTGGCAGAGGGTGGGGGGAGGGTCAGGAAAAGGAGCCTGGTGGCCCAGTGGTTAAAGCACTCAACCCTAGGTCTGAACCCACCCTCAGCTCCGTAGGAAAAAGAAGTGGCGATGTACTTCTCTAATGATGTACAAAGTTTCATTTCACTCAGTTCTACTCTGCCCTACAGGGTGGCTATAAATCAGAATTGACTTGATAACCGAGGGTTTGGCTTAGTTTGGGTTGAGTGAGAAAAAAGAAACAAACAACAACACACATTTGGTGTCTTTTACTGGTTTTTAAGAAGTCAAATCCCAGGTAAGAGATGAGGTCTTTAAAGACAAAAATGAATCCAAATTCCCACTGCCCTCCACTCTATTCTAACCCATAGCGACTGTGTTAGACTGGGTAGACTAGAGAAACAAATTCATAAACACACATATGTCTAAGAAAGTTTTATATGCAAGAGGAATTGAACATCACCTTGAATGGCTTTGTTCTGAGATAACTTGAACTTCATACTCAATAACGTTTTCCCCCCCAATCAGAATGGATGGAAATGCATAGGAAATTTGGAAAAGTCTCCAAAGAAATAAAACACGAATAAACTCTTTGTACAAAGACCCATAGAGGCATTTTCACATTATAGGCATTTTCTAACAGCCTAAGAGGTTACTTTCCAAAGTTTCATTTATAATTTATTTGATACTCATAAGACATTTTTCTAAAGGAACAGTGAAGTAACAGTGATTCAATTCCTGCCCAGCATTTTTCTTAACACAAAAAGTCTCGATAAGTATAGCATGCTCTTGTGGTCAGGATGCAATGAGGTTAAAGAACACTAAAAACAAAAACAAACAAGCCCCCAAAGCCTGGCCATTGCATGCCCTCTGTGTGACATGCACTGGGAACGGCGCGGGTCCTCATCTTTCCGGGCCCAGGGGGCAGGAGGTGCCCGGACAGCAATGTTGGCTTTTCATTAAATGACCTGGGGGATGGTTTAGAGGGAAGATTCATTTTTCCATTCAATGATTTATATACTCTTTTTTTTTGGCCTATTGGTCCCAGTGTCTTTTATTTTTTAACCATTTTAATGACAATTTTTATTTTTTAACAATTTTATAATTCATATATCAGTCGACTCAGTGGTTAAAACATATTAAAAAGAGTTGCACCATCATTGCCGGAATCAGTCTGAGAACATAAGCTAACCCTGTTCAAGCTCCCAGCAAAGCGTGGCGTCAGACCCAGTGGGGAGAATGCTCCCTGTAGTGTAGCGTCTCAGCCAGGGGCAAGCCCCAAGCCTGGACCCTCCTCCTGGACTTACAGCTGCTGACCCAAGAATGCAGGGTCTGGAGACTTCCTGTCTGGATTTAAATAATTAATCGAGTGACCTTGAGCAAGCTAGTCCACCTTTCTGTGCAATGGGACGATGAATGGCCCGATAATAGCCACACCTTCAGAGGGAGGTTGAGGGAAGCCCAGGTAACAGGTAACTGCCACCTCTGTCACTGTGGTGGTGATGGAGGCTACTGGGAAGCGCCTGAGGCACAGAGGTTTCTCTCCTTCTCAAGTGACCTGTCTCTCCAGGTGCGTCGCTGGACACACCCTCTTCTACTCAGGGGAGCGCTGCCAGTCCATGCAGGTGCACGGCAGCGTCCTGGGCATGGTGATCGGAGGCACAGCTGGCATCGTGGTCCTGACCCTCTCCATCCTCTCCATCCTCTCCCAAAGGCCAAAGCAGTGACGTGCCTGCTGACATCCCCCAGCCTGCAGCAGCGCCTCCTCCCTCAGGCCTCCTCTTCCTGTGGCCTGGAGTGGTTTTCATAAGCTTTGCTTTGATGAGGGGTCCGAGCACTGAGGTCTCCAGCTTCATGTGTGATTATCAGTCTTTTTGCAGCAACCCCCCCGCCCCCCCGCCCCGGGAACAGCACTCATCATTCTCATCTGTCAATCACTTGTCAAATCGATGGCCATTCGCACAGACTGTAAGCTCTAGGTAGGCAGGGGCAGGCTATCCTTATTGGCCGTGCTAACCCTGATGTCGGAATCATGCCTGGCTGGCATAGGGTGGGCACTCAATAAATATTGAATACATGAATTCTCACATGCTTCATTTCTGCTGTGGATGATGCCACAAGGGTAAGTCTGACAGCACTGCTGATACGGTCCCAGGACACACCTTCTTTCATGGGACGATTCTAGAGGAAATGTGTTTCAACAAGTCTCTGCGATCAGTGATGGCTACAGACAGGTTATCTGGGTCAGACACTTGTCTCCGTCTCTTTGGGGTGCTTTAGGGGG